TTTATTAGACTAGAACTGATTGGAACGAATGTGTCACTTTCGAATTATCTCTTATCAATCTTTCAATTATTTTTCTACTCATTCCCATTCCTATTATTTTATTTATCTTAATTCCAAATCACCTAAATAAGTGGCTGTTATTATCACCCTAAAACTCTTGTTCCCATGGCTAGTAATAAATGCATACGTGTCTATCTTAAAATTAAATGTCGACAGATGTCTACAGAGAGAAATAACTTCTAGAGGGTTTTCCAGTAACACCAAGTTTCCTTTGATATACATCTAAGGGTTACATTTACATAGATAATTGTATCGATATTACTTCTGACGTGCGCGTCAGTAAAATCCAAAACTTAAAGAATGAATTAAACATAAACTGTACATTTTCCGTTCTATGGGAATAGTTCATCAAGCAGTGGACCTAATAGTTAAATTATTTTTGGATAAGCATATAATCAATGTTTAGTAGATTTTACTTCGTACTGTTAAAAATCATTTGTACGGAAAGGGTGCTATGATAAACCTTGGTAGCTAATATGGAAGCAACTAAATGCTCTAACTGAACATTTCTTTACCCTTTGTTTTAAATCATCAGACAGTGTCCAAAATTATATTATCATGTTAGATAATATTCATCCCCAGTTCATACGTTTTTATTTCTATGAGAATTCTTAGGATTACAGACGTATTATTGTTCAGAATTCACAGTTTTAAAATTCATATACATATTGTTAGTTCATTACCGGACACGTGATTTTAACTTTACTCTTATGTCAAAAACATATACTCTATTCAAATTCATTTAACAGAATTTAGCGTCTGAGGTTACCCCTCAATCTTTTCCATATTCCATAAGTGTGTCTCATTTTTCTTTTATTTAATATATCATTGCTGCATAATAGCGTATAAATTTAGGTAGAGATTTCACTTTAAATGCTAACTTTCAGTATATTCATGTTTCGTATCTAAAATATTGGGTTCCATTATATCAAATAGTTGTTAATAACTCCAGATGCCTTAAATAAAATCTTTAATGGAAATTACACACTAATATGCAACACTCATCCACTAAATGAAAGAAAACGAACGAAAGTGTTGGTTATGACAGACTTTTTAAACGCTGAATACAATGAGATTAATCTCAGTCTTATTTTGCTAACAGGGTTTATATAAGACATCGTCATATAATGATGACAATAAACCTAATCAATATTCAGTAATTTTATGACAATTTGATCAAAGGAATAAATCTGTTTGCTTATGAGGTTATTTCATGAGATATAAAAACAGACAAATAGGAACTTACACCTGTAAGCATATTGTGAATCCGAAAATATTGATTGCGCAAACGAATCATAAATTAACTGATATGGAATATCTGTAATGTTTATTTTCTCTTGATCAACCATTATAATGACATTATTACCTGAATCTTCAATACGTTTCCATAAATAATTTTCAGCCCTAAATATAAGAATTCCATTCATTAATTTCCTTATTGTTTCCCAACATGACGGATGACAACAATTTGGTGAATTACAAGTGTAATAATTTCCAACGTTTGTAACAGTACGCATTATGAAGCTAATTTATAAATATAACTCTTGGATATATCATTATTAAATAGTTTAATCTAAAACTTTAAATTATATCATCAATCAATTCTAATTTCGCACCAATGAGCTCCTACTTACTATAAATAACCAATGATAATTATAGAAGCTACATTTTCTGACGTATCGGGTTTTTTTAAAGGTATCGTGTATCTAATTTTATTTTAAATATTTGGATTGATTGTCAGTTTCTTTAATTCAAGTATTTAAAGACATTCTCAAATGTATTCTCATGACCTTACACTTGTAAAATGATCATCGATGGATTGTAAACAAAATTATATATCTATTCAATAAATTCTCTTTAGGTTCTACAATTATATATCCAAATTAGTAATCCAAAAAGTAGAAAAGTAAAAGGTAACATACATTATTTAAAGTTACAGCAATATAAAAGAAAATAGAAACGTTAATGTTGGGATGACTATTCTGATGCGTTGACTTAAATAATTTGAAGCGTTAAATGAAATTGTGAGAATAATGATCGGATAAAATATGGTTAACATGAGATGAGAGAGATAATGATGTAATTCCAAATCACGAATCACGTAATATGTAGAATAATATGAATTAGTAAAATGGCGTGGATGTTGAATAAATTTCTGAAAATGTTTTTAAGCGTTATGATGCTAATGATGACGATAATAACAATCATAATATGTGTGAATAAGATAAGTTTAAGCTTTGAAAATACAAACAAGAAGGTTAAATGAACAAAAAAATAACGTAGCCATATCATAAAATGATTGTACGAATTTGAACAAATTGATAAGAGATGAAAATAAATTTCCGAATGCAAAGATCATATATTCTCGTCCGAATAAATGGTATTTATATAATATGCAGCATTAACAGTCTAAAGCAATTAGGTAGGATGATATTAAAAAGATATCATAAAGTTCATGAATAATAAACGTGAAAAACACAGAAAAAAAATCTTTGCAATACACGCACGAATAATTCCAAGGATCATCATATAATATTAATTGAGATGAAGTCAAATGACGACTGACGTGCTGTGTATGCTATCGGAAGTGTGCGACGGAATGCGGTCTATGACTTGTGTCGGTGCGTCGTCACGGGACACCGGTGTCAGTGAGGACTCAGTTGAATTGGAAGTGTCAATTGTGGATTGGTTGGTGTGAAGTGCAGTGGTGATTGTGTGGGATGGTGCGAATGCAGTCGATGGTAGTGAATGTGTGTAGTGGAGGCCATAAGGCGGATGTCGCTGCCAGGATTCGAACCTGGGTTAGTGCGGCCACAACGCAATGTCATAACCACTAGACCACAGCGACGATGTGTTTGCCACCCAACGTCACGCTATCACAACACACCCACCATCTCCATCACACAGTCACCTCGACACCAACGCACCCACACACAAAAATCAATACTCTGTCGAATCTAATCGACAGAACTGAACACTTCACACACGTCTCACTCACCTTCATCACACCAACGACAATCTCAGTCATTCCCAACAATAACACCGAAACCAACATATTAACAACACCAACATCCACGAATCATGAATCACAACATATTCAACAAACACTACAACAACAACAACAACAACAGCAACAACAACTGCAACAACAACCAACTTACACACCTACTCAATCCACATCCACATCAACCACAGCTACGTTGACACTCACATGTGGAGGTGCATCACGTCAAACCAATCTTCCACCGACTGTCTCATTCGTTGTTCTCATCGTGTTCTGTCTCTATTAAATTGGACTATGCTTGGAGTTCGTAGTTAGCACGTCATTGTTATGACCTTGAATGTCTGGTCTTTCTATCACACGACTTATCTACCAATCCGAGTACGACTTATGCGAATCTTCACACTAGGCCAACCAATGACGTTCAATCGGTGTGGGCAGTTTAGCGTCCTTATTGGTCCTATGTCCTACGAGCCCTTCCACTTGAGTACAGAACACAATACCAGCTTCCGAATATGAATCGAATCATTTATTTTATGCATACTTGGTTTATATATCAATCACACAGACCGCAACGTACCATAAAATAGGAAATAATATTTGTACACAAATAAGCCCAAGAAGTGACTGTGAATGTGGGAGGCAGTAGTTAATAAACTGAACATAACATAAGAACCGTAAATCGTACAATAATAAATTGTAGGTCAAAAAAAGCTTATCATAAAAGGAATATAAATATCCATAGTGTAATTGTTGAGTAGTTATACAATAAGAATATTTATAGAATATTAGTACATGAATAGTCCTCGGAAGTTAACTGTAATTTAATCTTCACAGGATATAACACCTCCCCTTTTTTGAAGCATTAGAGATAATGATGATCCTTAGGATTTATTTTTATTCGATTGTGTTTTCGTCTGATGCGCTGCGACCTCCTTGGGAGTGTTTCACACGTCTCGTTATTATTCGGATCATTTTTAATTTCATTATTCGACTCAGTTAATATATTTATTGGTATATTCGACTTTGTAGCATTTTCTGTCTCTCGTTCTTGTCTGGTTGGCTGTATCTGGTTTGCATGTCTCACCCATATCTTTTGTCCAACTTTTACTTCGTAGATAACTTTCCCTTTTTTTCGTATTATTATGCCAAACTTCCAAGTTGGCTTTACTCCAGTGAAATCTCTTGTTATTACCGCTTGTCCCACCCTAAACATTGTGGGCAATGCACCGTGCCGCTTGTTGAATTGCTGTTCCATTCGTTTGTTCTTTCGGAGGTTGGCCTTAAGCTTTGGTTTCAATTGCTCCATAGGTATTCTAATCTTACTGCCAAAAATTGCTTCAGCTGGGCTTTCTTGATTAATTGTTGTTGGGTTTGGTGGTGCTCTGTAAGTTTGTAGAATATTGTAAATGAATAGTCCTCGGAAAATATATGTAATTTAATCTTCACCGAATATAACAGTCATCTCGACTAATTCTAATGATCATATTGGCGTCACGATCGAGTGAAATCGTGGACAGTCGGATATTTTGCAAGTGGGGATTTCTTCGAACACTATATGGAGCTGTTTGAAATCTGGTGCACAACTAGAACAGATATTACAATGATTCAGATGAGTCCGTTCCAATTTCCGTAGTTAATTATAATAGTAATGAGTACATTCTAGATCACACACAGTCTATACTCAATACACAACCGGACAGACACATGACCGACCTACTGAGAAAATGAATAATAAACTACAGAAATCTGGATTCCCATTTAAGCTGTAGCGGTTGTGTTATTTGAACCAATTTGTGATCACATTGTGCTTCATTCTGTGGCTAATTCAAATTCCGAATATAACACGTTGAGTTGTGCTCATCGTGTTCTGTCTGCATTAGATTGGACTGATCTGGGAATTCTTGACACATCAATACGAATAATTTCAATGATCATCATATAATATTAATTGAGATGAAGTCAAATGACGACTGACGTGCTGTGTACGCTATCGGAAGTGTGCGACGGAATGCGGTCTATGACTTGTGTCGGTGCGTCGTCACGGGACACCGGTGTCAGTGAGGACTCAGTTGAATTGGAAGTGTCAATTGTGGATTGGTTGGTGTGAAGTGCAGTGGTGATTGTGTGGGATGGTGCGAATGCAGTCGATGGTAGTGAATGTGTGTAGTGGAGGCCATAAGGCGGATGTCGCTGCCAGGATTCGAACCTGGGTTAGTGCGGCCACAACGCAATGTCATAACCACTAGACCACAGCGACGATGTGTTCGCGACCCAACGTCACGCTATCACAACACACCCACCATCTCCATCACACAGTCACCTCGACACCAACGCACCCACACACAAAAATCAATACTCTGTCGAATCTAATCGACAGAACTGAACACTTCACACACGTCTCACTCACCTTCATCACACCAACGACAATCTCAGTCATTCCCAACAATAACACCGAAACCAACATATTAACAACACCAACATCCACGAATCATGAATCACAACATATTCAACAAACACTACAACAACAACAACAACAACAACAACAACAACAACAACAACAACTGCAACAACAACCAACTTACACACCTACTCAATCCACATCCACATCAACCACAGCTACGTTGACACTCACATGTGGAGGTGCATCACGTCAAACCAATCTTCCACCGACTGTCTCATTCGTTGTTCTCATCGTGTTCTGTCTCTATTAAATTGAACTATGCTTGGAGTTCGTAGTTAGCACGTCATCTCGACTAATTCTAATGATCATATTGGCGTCACGATCGAGTGAAATCGTGGACAGTCGGATATTTTGCAAGTGGGGATTTCTTCGAACACTATATGTAGCTGTTTGAAATCTGGTGCACAACTCTTCCTCTTTACATCCCATAGAAATGAATGAGTTTGTTTCTCGTATTGATTGTTGTTCTGTTATTAATCGTCTCATACTTAATCCATCTTAATATCATGCTGTTAACTTTAGTATGAGACATGGACGGAATATAAACACTATTTTGATATCCCATAGTGCTTGTACCATCTGAGACTCTTTGAATAACGCGGTGTCGAAGGTCAATTATCTTGGTGTCACCTTTTCCTCTGATCTGTCTTGGTCTTCCCACATTTTATCGTTATCAAAGAAGGTTTTCCGTCTGACCTACTGCATAAAGAGATTGCATGCTCTTGGAATTACTCGTCATTTTCTCTTACAATTTGTCAATTCTTGCATATTACCTATTATTCTTTACTGTTCTCCATTATTCTTTCCCGGGCTTTTGAGAAAAGACTTTGCTGTATTGCGAAGAGTACTAAAGGCAGTTAGTAAGACGTGTGGTGAATCTTTCGAGGTCATAATTAATATGGTTGTGGATAGACATTTAAAATCATGCAAACTCCTGGCAGGTATTATTTTATCAGATACTAGCCATCCCCTTCACTCTTATCTTTCTCCTTGTATATCTTCTGGTAGAACGAGAAGTAATTACATTAAAATCCTTGCACGCAAGGAAAAGTATAAAAGTTCTATAATACCTTACCTAGCAAATATACTCTGTGACGAAGAGGTTGTTAGAATTAACCTAGTCAATAACTTACATTCTTAACATGTCTTTAATTTTAAAAGTTTGTAGATTCTTTTGGGGTTTTTTTTTATTTTATTTTAATTTTATTTTATATATTTCTTTATGTATTCGCTACTGCCTTTTGTTCGTTGTTCAGTAAGTAAATTGTTGGAATACCCTGTGCTGAGAATTCTATATTGTACCAAAATATAATATTGAATAAAGATGTTAATAATAATAATAATAATAATCACAACTAGAACAGATATTACAAGGATTCAGATGAGTCCGTTCCAATTTCCGTAGTTAATTATAATAGTAATGAGTACATTCTAGATCACACACAGTCTATACTCAATACACAACCGGACAGACACATGACCGACCTACTGAGAAAATGAATAATAAACTACAGAAATCTGGATTCCCATTTAAGCTGTAGCGGTTGTGTTATTTGAACCAATTTGTGATCACATTGTGCTTCATTCTGTGGCTAATTCAAATTCCGAATATAACACGTTGAGTTGTGCTCATCGTGTTCTGTCTGCATTAGATTGGACTGATCTGGGAATTCTTGACACATCAATACGAATAATTTCAATGATCATCATATAATATTAATTGAGATGAAGTCAAATGACGACTGACGTGCTGTGTACGCTATCGGAATTGTGCGACGGAATGCGGTCTATGACTTGTGTCGGTGCGTCGTCACGGGACACCGGTGTCAGTGAGGACTCAGTTGAATTGGAAGTGTCAATTGTGGATTGGTTGGTGTGAAGTGCAGTGGTGATTGTGTGGGATGGTGCGAATGCAGTCGATGGTAGTGAATGTGTGTAGTGGAGGCCATAAGGCGGATGTCGCTGCCAGGATTCGAACCTGGGTTAGTGCGGCCACAACGCAATGTCATAACCACTAGACCACAGCGACGATGTGTTCGCGACCCAACGTCACGCTATCACAACACACCCACCATCTCCATCACACAGTCACCTCGACACCAACGCACCCACACACAAAAATCAATACTCTGTCGAATCTAATCGACAGAACTGAACACTTCACACACGTCTCACTCACCTTCATCACACCAACGACAATCTCAGTCATTCCCAACAATAACACCGAAACCAACAAATTAACAACACCAACATCCACGAATCCTGAATCACAACATATTCAACAAACACTACAACAACAACAACAACAACAACAACAACAACAACAACAACAACTGCAACAACAACCAACATACACACCTACTCAATCCACATCCACATCAACCACAGCTACGTTGACACTCACATGTGGAGGTGCATCACGTCAAACCAATCTTCCACCGACTGTCTCATTCGTTGTTCTCATCGTGTTCTGTCTCTATTAAATCCTGAATCACAATATGTTCTGCAAACACTACAACGGATTCTATTACAATCAGCAGCTTACACTTCTTCTCCATCCTTATCTTTGCATTGAAATACTTACCTTTTCTTGCTGTCGCTTGATTCGGTATAGATTTTGCTTTTGATATTTTCTCATATTGAAGTATCTTTGATACTGTATGTGTCGTAGCGGGGACTAAATTTTTTATCTCAGTAATTTTATTTCCTAATAATATGTACAGTTTATATATAGTATTAGAGAATAAATTTTTGGTTGACATCACGAACTGACATGAGCTGAAATGCTGAAACACTCGCTAGGTAAGTGGGTGAAAGTTTTTCTCTTTAAAATTCAAATCCTGTTATATTATTGTCTCTCTTTTTCGTCTATGATTTATAATCTCCCCAATATTTTTTGACAGCTTTCTATTTTTTGTCTTCATACTACTGACAAGTAGATAAACTGAATTTACAAAATATTCTCGCCTTTTATTCTGAAGAAATATAATTGGATGGTATTTTTTCAGTTGTTTTCGTATGTTTAATGATTCGTTCTCACTAATAGATCAAGAGAAATATTGCTTTGCATGCATTAGTTCATAAAACCTTTAAGTGTGATAAACCGTCCAGTCACCAAAGCATATTATTTAATCAATTTACAAATACAATATTTTTTGGGTAAAACAACAATGCGTACCTAATTAACAAGTAATTATCCGTATTTATATCCTATCTCTTTTCCATCCAATTTGAAATCAGTCATTTTGATTTAAAGTGAAAAGATGCTCATATAGAATTACTGTTTATGAATCTCACCTGCATAAATTTATTCCCCCCCCCCAAAAAAAAGTTTCCCAACACATAAAAAAGTACGAAAATATGAAGTAGATATGTTTTTGTGATGTAAATTTTTTTTCATTTTTCGCAATATAAATCCTTAGAAACTGATCATATCATTTATTCTGATAATGAAAAAAGTAAATGATCAATACTATATCAACAAGGTATGGTAAATAATATTAGTGGATAAAGTCAAATCAATGCCAAGAATGAAATTCAACTGGCTTGATTTTTATGCACTGAAAATACTTTCTCATGATATTTAAACTATTCATCGTTTTCCATACACTGTAAATTGTTCTACCACATTCATTTAGAATAATATCTAAATTCGGTAAACTAATAATTCTTTTATTTTTATCACAGATTAATCTGAATAAAGAATTCCATTTGGATGTCTGTGAATTGATGATCAAATGACCAATATATTTTCAGCTTTATATTTCATTACTCTCATTGTTCTTTTACTATGGAATTATTATGTGTAATACAGAAAAATCTTTCATAAACTAATGCGCGACAATATTTCCATTCATCTTTTAGTTCATTGAATAAGTACATATAAATGTACCAACTAAACTTATCATTCAGATTCAGATTTGTATAGTAAAGATAGAAGACCTACGGCCTACGTTATCCATTTTCTAGTATGCTTCTAATCTTCTCTTAAATGAGTCAAGGATAATCTTTTTGTCTTTCATTATTATTAAAGAAGATTATGTGACTGACAAAAAAAGTAGCACAAATCAAAAGTTATTTTGTTGATTTTCTTTTTTGCGTCTGTTACTGCATGCATAATATTAATTGTAACTCTAACAGTTATATATATGTGTGTGTATCCAAAAAATTATGAATGATTTTGTTGGGTGCCTTTCATCTATAGTGAATGAAGGCATGAAAATAGATTACAATGACACTTGGTGAATCTTTCCATTGCAAAAAATGTTAATTTGCTTCTTTTTTTCCAGTATCCTCTTTTAAATTTTATTTATTTATCATATTCAACTTTTTAGCGTGACTGTCAATTCTAGTTATTTCATTAAATATGGTGCCTTATGCGCTTATAATACTTTCATATTTCATTTTTCAATAGTCTGCTGTATAAGCGTGTATATGTATATATGTATTTGGTACTTAGTTTCACTGAATTTGCATTACTTTGTATGTCACTATCATCCCTATATCCTAGAGAATAAACTACTCATTGACAAAGAGGATAATATATACAATATTTTGAGAAGTCCATTAACAAGAAATATGTGCACTAAATAAGATTAACCGCTTTCGTGACCACTGATTAAATGAATGAATCGATAAATAAATAAATCCAACAATAAATTAAGTATGAATCCATAATCTCTAAAGCTAATTTTGACTTGATGATGAATGCATGCTTTAATTGATACTTCATAATAATGTACAATACAGAATCAACTATAAAACGAAATTTAGACAACTTACAATGAATAATAAATATGTTATAATAAATAAACTTCTAAAGAATAAAAAGCTTACTTTATAGTGACACATAAAGTATTCATTTATGATTCCAACATTAAGTGGATTATGTGGCCAATTAACTTAGCAGAAAAAACTAGATATGATTACATCACTTACTCTCCAGAGACAAATCATCATCATGTATTTCCAGAAAATCTTTCACCTCGAGTTACCAGTAGTCTTAATTTTCATTCAAATACTAGTTGTTCTATCGAGTTACAATTCTAAAGCAGTCAAACACTAAAAAGTTCCTGTTTTCTTACTATTTAGCTTTCAGCAACAACTGAATCCCATAAATCAAGTTAGTAATGCGACCTTCAATCGACGTGGCTTGTTAGTTTGTTATATTTTATTTGTGTCGTAAAATATAAGCACTCTATCTCACATTCTTGTCTATAATTTCACCGTTCTTACTACTTCTACTATTAGTAATAATACTTTGAGTAGATAT